AGAGAGTTTCCCTGGCAGTTCTGTCTCAACTGTTAGGGAAACTGATTTCTTGTATTTCCATTGTGCCTTGGGCTCGATTCCATTCTAGAGATCTGCAATGGTTCTTGCTACCTTTCCAGCAATCCAGAAGAGCCACTTCCAACATCCGGATAAAGGTACCGCACAATGTTCTCTGATCGCTCCACTGGTGGTCGGAAAACACGATAAACAAGGGGTGTCCTTTCAAGGAACCTTGCAGGGCAATGATCACAACAGATGCCAGCCTGGTAGGATGGGGAGCTCACTTCCAATCCCACACTGCACAGGGAAGTTGGACTATTTCCGAACAATCACAAAGCATCAACCTGTTGGAGCTGCGAGCAATTCATCTGGCGTTATGCAGTTTTCTACCCCTTTTCCAATCACGCCACCTTCTGGTCTTGACAGACAATATCACAACCAAGGCCCACATAAACAGACAGGGGGGTACCCACTCCAAACTTCTGATGCTGGAGACGGCCAGGTTGTTGAAGTGGGCCGAGGCCAATCTGTTTTCGCTCAAGGCAGAGCACATAGCAGGGGCCTTAAACACACAAGCGGACTGGCTCAGAAGGGCCACAATAGATCAGACAGAGTGGCGCCTACACCCATCTTTCTTCCAGGAAGAAGTGCGGAGGTTTGGGCAACCAGTGATCGATCTATTTGCCTCTCCCCGCAATGCCCAATTGCCCTGGTATATTTCAAGGTACCCGACTCAAGGGGCAGAGGCCGTCAATGCCCTGCAATGTCAGTGGCCTCCCGGACTTCTATATGCATTTTCTCCACTCCCTGTAATGCCCAGGTTGATCCAGAAGTTATTGGAGGAACAAGCGGAATTGATATTGGTCGCCCCTTACTGGCCCAGGCAAACGTGGTTCACGGACTTACAGGACCTGTCGAGAGAACAACCTTGGAAAATTCCACCATCGAGGGTTTCCCTCTTGCAAGGGCCAGTACTTCACCTGGACCCACAATGGCTCAGCCTAGCCATATGGAGGTTGAGCGGAGCTGTTTAAGAACCCAACAGATTTCAGAGGATGCTATTGCCACCATACAAGCATCCAGACAGTCCTCAACAAATCATATGTACAAGACCACGTGGTCCGCTTTCTGTCGCTGGTGCCAGGGGTCTAAGATTGACCGAACCACCCCATCAATAGGACAATTATTGGACTTTTTATAGGAGGGGTTGACCAAGGGCCTATCTCCAAATACTTTACTCAGACAGGTGGCGGCCTTAGCCTCGGTGATATCCTGGACCTTCATTCCATAGCGCACCATCCACATGTCCGCAGCTTTCTTAAGGGTACTGCAAACCTACAACCTCCTGTAATTCACCACTATCCCACTTGGGAGCTCAACAAAGTGTTAACTGCACTTACAACTGGCCCGTTCGAGCCTTTAGGTCTCAAATTCCTGACATATAAGGTGGTCTTCTTAATTGCGATCACATCAGCAAGGAGGATTTCCGAGTTGGCAGCATTGTCGATGAGAAAGGATCTGTGCGTGTTTCATGCGGACAGAGTGGTTCTCAGATTGGATCCATCGTTCATCCCTAAAGTAAATTCAGCCGTCCACAGAGCGCAGGAGTTGGTGCTTCCAAATTTTTGTCTGAAACCATCTCATAGACTGGAACATCAATGGCATCGACTTGACGTTCAAAGGGTGTTAAGCATCTATCTAGACCGCACGGCGGCATTTTGAAAATCTGAGGCTCTATTCCTATCCTTCAACCCATCCACTTTAGGACACAAGGTGTCGTCGATGACCATTGGTAGATGGTTGAGAGCCACCATAGCTAAAAGTTACAAATGCCTGTCCATCTCAATTCCTAAGGGCATTACAGCCCACTCAACAAGGAGTGCGGCAACATCAGCAGCATGGGCCACACGGGCTTCCATAGATGAAATTTGCAGAGCGGCAACTTGGGCTTCACCATCACCCTTTGTCAGAAATTATAAAATTGATGTCTGTGCCTCAGCGGACACTTCATTTGGCAAAAGAGTCCTGCAGAGGGTCCACAGAGTTTAGGAGTGGATTTCGATCCAGGTGGAGTCCCTCCCTAAGGACAAGCCAAGCTTTGGTATGTCCCACTTCTGGATGCTCTGAACAGCTCATGAGAGAAAGGGCGTTGGTACTTACCTGATATGCCCGTTCTCTGTGAGCTGTGAAGAGCATCCAGCCCCACCCATTTCTTTCCATCTGGTGGGGTTCCGTTCGGGTCAGGGATCTAGATTAGGTGATGAGTTCTGGACTTTGGCACTCAGTCTTCGCAAAACTGGGGGATGCTGAGAAGGTGTCCCATGGAGAAGGAGGAGCGTCCCGGAGTTTTAAGCCCAGCCTTTCCAGAAGAGACTGAAGCACCTCCCACTTCTGGATGCTCTTCACAGCTCACAGAGAACGGGCTTATCAGGTAAGTACCAACGCCCTTTTTCACTTACAAAAGGTTAAATATTTTTCATTTCTGAGCATGAGAATGGTTGGTTATCATCGACATATCAAAGATTGTTAATGTTTCTCCCAGGAGTTTTAATTCCTATTTTTTCTAGTTCGGTCTTTCTTATATATTCTGCATGCAAGTTAAATAAAAGGGGACAATCTATAACCTTGGGTTACTTCTTACCGGATTAATTGCTCCATGTCCCATTATAATTGTTGCTTCCTACAATTTCTTCAGTACAAAGATATGATAATCCACTCTGGGTTTTTAAGGCCTTTTACAAGAAAAAAGTCAATGAAGAAAAATGGGGTATCTGTTTGAAATTCTCTTCCCTTTTCCATTAGTCATCAGATGTTAGCAGTGAGTGAATCCAGCTACCATAGTAGAGCCAGAAATTCTAATTTATTAAAGATTGGGTAGAAAAATCTTAAAACATTAATCTTACTAGTATGTTAGAGAAGTACCACTGTTTGAGAGTTTGAGCATTCTTTTAATATTGCTCCATTTTTACATTAGATTATAAATGTATATTTTGCATTCCTTAGGCAACAGGACCTAGCATTGTTGGGAGCAAAGTGCAAATAATGCTTTTACATTGTAAAACACCCAGAGCATATGGGACAGTATATACATCTAAATCAGTGGTGGGATTCAAAATTTTTTTGCTACCAGTTCTGTGGGCGTGGCTTGGTGGGCCTGGCAGGGGAAGGAGACTGCAAAATCTCCAGTCAGAGGTGGTATTTGCTGGTTCTCTGAACTACTCAAAATTTCCGCTACCGGTTCTCCAGAACCGGTCAGAACCTACTGAATACCACCTCTGGTCTAAATGCTATTGCTATTTGTAAGATTTTAAACAGTTATGATGGTATTTTATCAAATTCTGTGCCTTTGCTATTGGAAGTATTTTTGCTAAAAAGTAGATTTGTTGAGGAGAATTTAACTTCACTTTCCAAAATGTCCTACTAGTATAATAAACAAACTTTGTGTGTCTTTCATCAATTTTGATAACTACTGTATAATCAACCTGATTTCACTATTTTATCCATTCATTGATGTCCATGTGTGTAGTATTCTTTTTAATTGTTGGAAGAAATGTTTTGCTACATTGAATGTCACTGGCAGCATTCTCTTTCCTGCTTCATTCTGTACAGTGAGACCAATTTTTCGGTTCTGCCAGATTCTCTTAGACTTTCAATTTTAATATGGTATGATAGAGTTAAGGTAAATATAGATCTTAAAAATCATTATATTACTGTGCCATATTGAGAATTTGGAACTGATATAAATCCAGACTGTACCTGAAAATGCCTTTATGGGTCTCAGCACAAGAAATATTTTAAAGGAACGAAACAGTAGATAAAGAAAAATTAACTTATCAAGAGTTGTTGGAACAGGAACACAGAGGACATAAAATGAAATCAAGACAACAATTGATGCAAAGGGATTTAGTTTTCAATGGTCTTCAGATACACAAGAGAAAGTTTGAAGGTAGATAAACATTTAGAATTGAGCGGCAGAAAAGTATTTGAAGTTGAAATATGTACAAATAATGACCATATAATTGCTAAGATGTATAAACTTGAAACTTGAAACAGAAGAATAGGTAAGAGTATGGTTAAGTGGACCGAGAACTTTGGATACAATATGCAGTGGGAAAATGTGTGGCTAAAATTGCTGAAGTTTAAATTAAATCAGCAGTTAAAAGAATTTTATACAATGTTGTACCATTAGTCCAGAAAAATTGTCTAGAATGGTATAAAGGTACTTCAGATTTATGCTGGAAATCTGATCAACATGAGTCATTTTCTCGTGCTTGGTGGACTCGGTGGAAATTTCTGGGTTCAAAAACATGTAATGATTCAAAAAATGTTAAAGACCAACATTCAGCTGAAACCAGAACTTGTCTTCAGCAGCTGCAGCCAGTTTCCAGGGCCATCTTAGGGCTCAGCAGAGGAGGCTAGAACACAGCAATAGTAAGGTTGCCTTCCATAATATTGAATAATGTGTGGCCAATCGTCTGTCATAATTAACTGCAAGGAAGGTGACCTGTTAAAATGACTTCCACTCCATCCCTTTCAAATTTAGCTTAGAAATCACATAGATTAGAAAGACTGGTGGACCTATATGACTCACCCACCAATTAACTAGAAAAAATGATTAATTCACAGTACTTTCAGATTTACATATGATGGATAATGTTGATAACTCATTGTCAATTGACCTGATCTTTTTATTAGAATATTTAATTGATTATCACAGAAGCATCTTAGAGCAATAAATCTCACAAATTAAGTTCTGTGCTTTTCTGAGATTATGCTTTCATAATATAAATTTTATTCGTTTAATTTTTGCAGCCCTATTAATTATAAGGTTTGTCCAAATTACCTGCCTCTATTTCTTGCCACGGAACATTTAAAGAACATAGAAGCCTTAGAAAATATCTGTTTTTATCCCAAATAACTTTTCCATTCCCAGCAGTCATTTAAAACAGGCTTCTTTCTTTATGGGATTATACATGCCTTTATTTTCCTTAATTGATTAGGTTCTCAGCCAATACCTTCTTTACAATTCCTGTCTCCTGCTTGTTACGGCTATCTGAAGGACTTACATACACAATGTTTTGATTCAAAATGGTTCCTGCATCTAATTCCTGATCAGCCGGTTGTTTGCAGCTTGCTACTCTGCAATAGGAATGAAACAGCATGGGATGAACTAAAGGTAATCTCTTTATATATCTTGCAGCAAGCAGTAGATGAAGGGGCATGTTAGAAGGTTGGTCTCTTGGTTAATTCTCTCTACGTATGAAACCAATAATAATCTTAGACCATTAAAGCTTATGGAAATCAAGAGTTGTACTACAAATAAGGTGCTTAAGGCTCTCTTTAACAAATCATCAAAGTGGACCAAGTCTGGAGAGTTTGTTAATGAGATGCAAGATGATTTAGGGAAAGGATGCCAGGAAGACAAATACAATCTATAGCCATGGATATAATTGACATAAAGTTTGGAGAAAAATATAATTGTCATGAGTGTTAAGTTTGAGCAATGAGAGGCTGAACCAGAGCATGAGTGCAACAATACTTTATTATAACAATAAAGGGCTGACCGTGCTTGCCACGCCAGGAACTGGCTCGCAGCAATCAGCAACTGGTTGGACCCCGCAGCCTGCTTTTATAGCTGGCTGCTGGGGAGAACCAGCCAATGAGGAAGGGGAAGAACGCCCACTCAAAGTGAGTGGACCTGAGTGAGAACTCCTAGAGTTCTCAGGACATAACAATGAGTTTCCTCTCTCTCTTGTCAAGGGAAGTGAAGCAGCAGGTACAAGTGTAGGCCTCTCTTAGCCTCTCCATATACAGGTAGTCCTTGACTTACAACAGTTCATTTAGTGACCGTTCAAATTTACAATGGCCCTGAAAAAAGTGACTTATGACTGTTTTTATGACCTTTGCAGCATCCCAATGATCATGTGATCAAAATTCAAAGGCTTGGCTGCTGATTCATATAGTCAGTGGGGAAGCCAGATTTTGCTTAACAACCGGGTTACTGATCAACTGCAGTGATTCATTTAACAACTGAGGCAAGATAGATTGTAAAACGGGGCAAAATTCACTTAACAAATGTCTCACTTAACAACAGAAATAGTGGGCTCAATTATGGACTTAAGTCGAAGACTACTTTGCCTATGTATTGTGAAAATATAAATAAAGAGAGAGGATCATGAATGTGACCTTAGGGATTTTTTTAGGAAAGAAAGGGTAGAATAAAATTATAATGTAATATTTGGACAACATTGCACAAATAGATATTTGACAGTATTTAGGACAGTGAGTGTAATTGTTGTTATGGGGCAAATATTCTAATATTCTGTCAGAGAGCTGATGAAATCAGGCTGAGAGGCATTAAATTGTGTTTCTTGATTTACAGCTGCCGCTTTTAATGACTATTTTAAGGAAATTAGCATGATGAGTATTTTGGCACAGAAATCTTCTCAAGAAAAGAAAAATAACACCTCTTTTTATCAAAGATGAGGTGATAAAAAAAAAAGAGAGAAATGATTAGATAAATGGGGCTTTGCAAAGTGTGTGCAAATAGGCTCAATTCCATTGAGATTAACTCTTGGGTTTGTTTAAATCAAGAGATTATTGGTTTAGTTCCTGGAAGTTAATGGGGTTTCCATATCACATGCTGAGTGCAATTGTCTGAGCAGAGTAATGACAGAAGATATGGTAGAATTCTGGTGAGAAAAAGAGAAAAAATCTTTAGAGTCACGAAAATGTCTCCCGTGCCTGAAAGATAGATAATTGCCTAAAGGAAGGGAGAAGGAAAAAAAAAAAAAACCTTTTGCAGGCTTCATCAAAAGTAAGCATTTCTAATGGTAGAAGGGCATATCTCTTGCTATTCACAGCTTTATCTGATTAATTATTTGGCTGCAGGCTATTGAATTGCAATTTATGCCATTGCAGTGTTTGCTATGTTCCTGATCATCACACCTATTAAGCATGGATAGGACATAATCTGTACTGCTCATCGTATTTGCAATATAAGGTTTCCAGTGCAGTTTTAGATCTTCGGGTTTGTTTTTGTTGCATTCTGATTTCAGTGCAACATGCGTAATCCAAAAATCTCTGTTGACTGTGCTGGTTGATTACGTATAATGAAAGTACTTTTCTGCTTTTATTTTGTAACTTAATCTTCTACTTTACAAATCTAGTAATTTGCGCTTTTTTAACTGATGCATCTTTTTAAACCAATTATATTAAAATGAACGTAGGTGGTCCCTGTTTGGCTACCTCTTCATTTAGCAACGCTCATTTATGATGGTTAATTATAAAATAATTTTATAAGAATCCTTCTATTTACATACAGACCTTGATGGTCTATAAAACAAAAGAAAGCTGAACTAAAATGGTAAACATAGTCATGATTTTACATGCTTTACTTAACTTCACTAGTTGTGATCACTACACAAGGATTACCTGCATGGTTTGCTAAGTATTTAAATATTACATTAGTTGTCTGTCAAGCTGTATAAAAGCAGATTGAAATACCTGGAACAATCTATGTTAATCTGTAACTGAGCAAATAAAATGGGATAAGTTAGTATGCCTACTAAACCAGAATTCCTTTGCAGAAAGGGAGGATAAATTAATTGGAGAAAAAAATATATGTTTTGTTTGGAGGGGAAAATATCAGTGTCTATAATACAACTATTTGGTGCTTTTTTCCCCCTCTGCAGCTTGCTTGTCAAACGGCAGAACATGCTTTGCAGTTAACAGTCAAAGATCCATGGATTTTGCTGGGCGGAGGCTGTACCGAAACTCATGTGTCCTCCTACATAAAGCACAAGGTTTGAAAATTTAATGGGGGATATTTAAATCTTCATTTAAGGCTCCTCAATGTATATGTGCTTATGAGTACAGATGAAACACCTTATTGAGACCACATGCTGTATATTATATAACATTTAATACATGTATGTCTCTATAGATTTGTGTATTATAAAATCAATATTAAGGTTAAAGCAAGGAGAAGGTAAGGTAAGGACACTGTTGAACCAAGCTTGATTACTAGTGACTTCATGTTTGTGTCATTTTGGGAGCAATAATGCAGAAATGATTTGCATTGCCTTTCCCACTACTTTTAATTTGTGGGGAGTTTTTTTGTTGCTGCTGCTGTTCCCAGTTTAGCTTGACTTTAGGCTTGAGGTCTCTTGGTAATCTCCCATCTATATTAACCAAATCAGGTGCTGCTTATTTTATTTTTTTCTGGATCAGCCAATTCTGACTAGGTGATAGCATCTGTTAGGCAAAGGAAAAGTATGCAAAGGTTCTATGTTCGAAAATAAATGCAACCCAATTATGTTCTTTGACAGTGCACTTGGAGGCCACACAATTCTTTTCCAGCAATAATATTAAATTAAGGCAGAATAGAAAATATTATATGGGCGTATTTGTTTTTTATAATATTGTACAAGGACCTCAATTGTGTCTTCATTTTCAGGCAATGCATCTTTCTCATGCAAAAGGACTTACAGGTAGTCTTAAACTTATGATTGGTCACCTAGTGACCATATGAAGTTACAACAGAACTTTCAGAGGGGTACCTGTGTGCTGCTTTTGAAGTTCCAATGCTTGCTTCCCTCCCCATGGTCACTGCAGCACATGCAACTGGCCCACATGTATGTCCATTTGTAAATCCTATGGTCATGTAACCATGTTTTTGATGTTTTTGCCAAAAACCAGCATTTACTTCTAGTTTTCAACAAAACAGGCCCATCGTGAACAATTGGTTAACTTGACAATCAGAACAAAAAAGGTTGTAAAATTGGGTTGGTCATGTGGCACTTTACAACTTCCATTGATTTACAACCAGCGAAGGGTAGACTCCATTACACTCACAAGTTGTGGGCTGCCATCAAACTATTTGACACTTACTTGAGGGTCATAAACCACAATGGGTTTCTTCCCAGATAATCTTACATTGAGCTATAACAGCAATAGCACTTAGACATATATATCGATTCACAGTGCTTTAAAACCCTCTCAAAGCATTTTACTGAGTCAACCTATTGCCCCCAACAATCTGGGTCCTCATTTTACTCACCTCAGAAGGATGGAAGGCTGAGTCAACCTTCAGCCGCTCAGAATCAAACTCCTGGAGTCAGCAGTAAGTTAGCCCTGCAGTACTGCATTCTAACCATTGTGCCATCACGGTTCTTATAAACTGATAAATAGTATTATACTAATACATGACCTACTAATGCATAGTAGGTCAATGAGTAACAACAGCTTTCATTTTCTCCCTCTCTGTTCTAGAGTTGTAGTGTAACCGAGGGGACCTTGAAAGATCTAGGTTGTTCTTCGGAGGAATTCCACTTAGTAACTGATTGTTTTTGCCACTCACTAGAGTCCATTGCTCACTCTCTGGAGCATGACAGTGGTGACATTCTCACTGATACCCATTGGGGTCATTCATGGTCTGTTCCACCTAACATTCCTAGCAACTCTGATTGGTCAGATTTTGTTCAAAAGTGTGGGTGCGGCCTTTGCAACAAACAGGAAGACCTCAACTGGAAGATGTTAAACTGTCATTCTGTTTCTTTCCTTCCCCAAAACTGTGTTAATGAGACCTCTGTAACATCTGCTGACCATCTTGTCCTGGATTGTTTTGCTGCAAAGCGGAACGGTTTGCAAGTCGCAGTCGAGACAGCCCATCTCATTTTAGATATCTCACATATAATTGAAGATCGTAATTAGTTGTGTGTGCACATTTAGCAACTGTGATGCATTTATGCAATTATAGGCCTCTTTCCAACCACATCTCTTGCAACTTCAGAAATATCTGTAACAAACATTGGAATTCTCAAGGTCATGTTTTGCTATTTCCTACCAATCTATTACTGGAAGAAAAAAGCATTTCCTGCTGCATTACAGACTCCAGAGAAGCATTTGCACATATGCAAGTATGGACCAGAAATATCGGTTGCAACTTGGCATTTCTTGATGTAACATAGATAATTTGGTCTTATTTTTGTTTCTTTGCGTGTTTGAAATTTTAAAAAAGGCATATGCTACTGAAAACACTTATGGAAATATGTAACATCTTTGGCTAGGATACCATTACCACTGTTTGTCCAGAATGTGAAAAGTAAAAGATTGTGACTAAACAAAAATTTAATGTACAGATGATAACACCAGATATTATATTAGCCTCTGTAATAAATTATGTTACTTATTTTAGCTCACCATGGAAAACATCATATATCATTAGATATGTCATAGATTAATAATTTAAGGACTGAAGTACAACATAATTGGATTCTAAATAAACTATTTTTCAAAACACAATGTCAACTTTGAAATTCAGCTGCCACATTTTTTTAAGAGAACAGTCCAAATATAAGTAAAGTCCAAATTAAGAATATTTTATTCTTAATTTAGGAATTGTTTAATTTAAAACTGGTTTAGTTGTAATAGATTGTTACAGATTCAAAATATTTTTCAAGAGTATGTACAGAAAATAGTATTTTTTCTAGCATCAGCTAAATTAGATATATTACATTGAGAAAAGTTTCTCATTTCTTTCCTGTTACCTTTATTAATTTCATTGCAGAAATGTTAATATAGGAAACAAATTATTTTGTTATCTGCTTTTATCTTCCAAAACAGAAAAAGGTTAAAAATGTGAGGTTCTTGCCTGCTGGCTTTTTTAAGTTAGCTGTTTTAGAGATTCTAAAACTTTAGTTCTTAAAGAGGTAACCTTATAAATAATTTTAATTTCCACCTCTAATGAATATCACACCATAACTGAAACATCAGTTCTGCCTGTTCTCCTTCCATTTAATATATCAAAAGTGTTTCAGATACAATTGGTAGTAAGAATGGATTGCTTACAATATAGAGCAGTTGCTTCCGTCTTTGAACTGGGAGTATCCTGGGATATGGTTAAAAAAAAAACAGAGCGGTGGCTATCATAGTGCAATCAAAGTGCTACCATTTTTATGTGTGTCACCTATCATGGCTACCACCTTGAATATTTTTTTACCAAAGTCTGCATGCATCTATGCTTTGAAATATGAACTGACATATTTTTTCCTAACACGGTTTATATAAATATGCTTTTAACATAAAAAATTAAACACACACATCTCATTTTGTTACTCTCTTCTTTATTATTATTAGCTACCCAATTTGCAGGTGATCTTGAAAAGTGAGCTGTAAATTCTTGCCTGTGTTTTTACACTAACTTTATTTAGTACTTTTCTTCCTGAATTGTTGAAATCAGAAGATCATTTTATAATCATGAGTGGTCTAATAAAGATATTACCTCAGGTGAGCCACCTGATTATGACTTTCTGTGTTTAATCTGCTTTTTCTTCATAACCTGTCTAAAAAAAGAACTTAAAAATCATTTTGTTTAAAATCAGAATAAAGAAGTCACTCATTTTAATATGCCCCACATAGGAGGATATATCAGCTGTAAACAGAGTTCCACAATCTAAGTGCTTGAAATCTGATCCATTGTTGTCAGTCCCAAAACATGTCAATGGTGTCTCTCAATTGACAGCTTAGCTTCCACATGTCAACCACATCTGTAATCAAAGTACCTTTTGAAACCACATCAAAATCAAGGAAAAACAGAAAATCCTACTTGACACAATCAAATCTTAACTAGATAACTTAGCTCGTGTTATTCTGAATTTGTGCTATCTATTGGAATATAATTTCTGCAGCTGAGTCTTCTCTTAAGGAGCTTGTTTATTTCAGTTAAATTCTTGACTAGTTTACTGATGTCTGCATTTTGGGGATACTGTTTGCAATGCAGTATATGAAAATATTCTAATAAATATTCACTTGGTCGGTTCAAAAGATGTGCCATGCCATCTGGAAGCAATAAATCCATGCCAAGTACAATCCTGCTTAATAAAACAAAATCAGCAGTTTAGTATGGAACCGAAAAATTTGTTTTGATCTGCGAGTTGTCTTTATTTTTGAGTTTTGCTATATGTAAGGCACACACTTGATATATGCACGTAGTTCTGGTTTTGATCTATCTTTGAACAAAAAAAACAGACAAATGTGTTAAGTCAAAAATGAAATGTAGCTCTAAGCTACTCTTGTTTGGTTTGGTCATCCAAAATAACACTAAAGTGGTTGGGATTTTACTTTGCGCATTCTCCTCTCCCCACCAAGGCCAGCCAACTTTTGAGGCTCACATCTTCCATTCAGTTGCTTGATTTTCAGCCCACTTGGGAAAAATGGTTTCCAATTGTTTTTTCCCATCGACTAAGTTTGAATTAGTCATACTGAGCATCTTTTACTTTTTGCTTCTTGTTTCTTTCCATTTGTACAAAAGTTGCAACTGTAAGATGTCAAACCAAAACCTATAATTAAATGGTGATCTTCCTAGACCCTACAATTTTTGTGGCAAGCAACCAACTTTTTTCTTTTCCTTTCTTTTCTCCAGGAAGAAATCAAATAAAAATTATAGCTTAAAGTGAATGGTCTGAAAGTGTATTATATTTTTAAAAAATCAAACAAGAGCATACCTTCGAAGATAACCCATTTGGGGAAAGGAAGCTTTTAAAAATGCAGACAATTGTGCAAATCAAGTTTTCTCAGACAATGTATTCCCCCTACAACCCCAGTTCTGCCATTATCAAGTTATCAAGCACATGCAAGCAATAAGATCTGAAATAATAAATGCAAATGAGATGTGCCTGTTGCCAAAGGGAGGGGAGTCATTCCCATCATAAATTCTAAGCATTCCAGTACATTTTTCTCCTCCAATAGTCAGCCAAGAATTCCTCCCCCCACCCATCACCCATATTCTTTTTTTTTTTTTTCAGAGATGTGTATTTCTTCAAATGTTGGGGTCCTGGTGCGTTGGAATTGCACTTTTTAGTTTCATAACCGATGGCACTTTAGTAGTCCAGAAATGTTTAGTTAAGCGGAATCCTGAACTTTGATCTTGCAAGATTATTTCCAACATGGCAGTTGCAACCCCACAGTTATTTTAAATATCAGAAATATTAAATCTCCAATCCATTGCCTCCACACATTAAAATTTAGAACATTCTGCTCTCGTGCAGAAAACTTTTAAATAGTTCCTGTACTTGACACTCAGTCATATACCAGAAAACCCATGCTCAGCAACTGCAACACTTTCTCCTACAACCTTTTGAAGGAATTTGATAGATTTGTCAGAGAATTGACTCTTAGCAGCAAAATGTTGCTGGCCACAGCAAATCCAAAGAGCATCCCAGCATTAATTTAAAACTTTTATTAGCCTTTCTAAATTCTTAGTCTTTTCGGGGAGCTGGGCTTTGTCTTTGGAAGAGAAATGCCTACACAAAACTAATTACTGGACTTCGAACAACATTTCTGGAAGTGCATGAAATAGGTTTTCTGCAAATGAGCACAAAGAGAAAAGATTCTGAGCCTTGGGCAAGAGGGTTATTTTTATACAGGGAAAAGAAATGCATTTGGCTTATCATAATCACATGAGAAGGACTTTTCGGTGTCTGCCTAAAAACATAAGCTGATTTATTTTTAGGGAAAAAGCGATGCTTAAATAACCAGAATAAAAGAGCCGGGGATGACAGTATTAGAGTTTACAATTGTTAAAATGCATAAGATTTCAAAAATCAGTAAGTATTAGGATTCGTAAAGTAGGTACGGGGGAAGGGAAAAAACTTTGGAGCAGCACATTCACTGAATTATGCAATCTGTTGGACTGGTCAGTGAGACAATAGCTGATGCAGTCTGGAAGAGCTGCTTCATTCATAAAAGTGGGCTCCTGCAAGGGAGAGAAATACAAAATTTGTAGTGTAATGCCACCTTGCAAATGTTGCCCATTCTTGTTTAGGTGTTGCACTGTCACATACAAGTATGGTATACCTGGGATAGAGTCTGCAGAACAACATCACAGTGCGTATTTCATCATTGTGATGAATCCTCTCAATCTGATAGATGCCTACGCAGGGCATATATTCTGTTAGCCAACGAACAATCTGTTTACTTTCACTCATTTTCTGGAGAGAGTTCCAACTTGAGTTCAGCTGTAGCCATCCTCCAGTCTTCTATATAAAGAAGGCTATCAGATCTATTTAAGGCACTGAAGCATTCTTAAAAATAAGGGTGATGTGAAGGGTGTCACCTTCTTTTACAGTATGTAGGTTTCTTATTTTCAAATAAAAAATATAAAAGAAGAGCCTCACCAGAGGAAAGGAACCATTCATAGATATATTGGTGACCTTGGCTTCCATATTAGAACTTAACCTCATCCAGTCTTGGGCCTGAACTTCTCTACTCCATGCACAAAAGAAGACTCTTTGAAAACTGTTGAATTTACAGGCTTGCTGTTCATGGATTTTCCAAAACTTATGAAATCTTGTTCCTCATCACCCCTGCCAATATGATATTTTTGCTAATAATTGTGTCTTATTATGATGTAACTATTCTGTAAACAAGACTACTTTAAATACGTAAAGTTTTTCCCATTCTCAATTTTTAAATTTAAGCTATTATTCTTATCAGCACAATCCTATCAGATTGTCTTCTTAATATCTTAGTAATCTCCTATGCTGGTCCATATTGGGTCAGTTTCAAGTAGCAATTAAGGCACTAGGTTAGAAACTTTGAGAGAGAGGGAGAGAGAGAGAGAGAAAGAGAATCCCTCACTGTACGAGTTAAGGGTGAGAATACTGTACAGAATCCCAAGAGCTTGAATGGAAGCTCTCCATCCTTCCTTGTTAGGGAATTCATTAAAGTGGAACTTCTTTGAAGCTTTGGAAATTCTTTTTCCTCAGCAGGATGCACCAACTATCCATTTCTTTGGTAAGCCAGTTACAGTCTCTCCCATCTGCTGATTACTAGATACTCCTCTTTCTTTCTCAGCCTTACAAAACCCTCCTTCAGCACCAATGCCCTGAACAAAAATGACTGGCTCAGTCTCCCAAGAGTTATACTAGCCTATACATGCTGCAGCGACCTTGATCATTGCCTTATTCTTTTTCTCTCTACCTCTAAACCTCCGGTGCTGAGTTGAGAAGTGATATAACGAAGCAACCCCACACTGAGTTCCTAATCAAGCAGACTGAAAGCAGAGGCAATGGTCAAAGCACTCAGGATCATAATGCCGAGAAGTATCTGCTGTAAGAATGGGGGCATCATTAATAAAACTCCCTCTCTTTTTTGCATAGTGGTTTCCAGGAGAGAATAGAGAGCCAGAAGTGCTGATCTTTATTTATTAGATATTTATCCCACCTTTCGTTCAGGAACTCCAGGCTGTTAGCATAGCATTAATTTCTCATATTGGCCTTCACAACAACCACCTTAT